TTTTTTTGCTATTGTGCTCTCCAGCTTAGAGATCAGATCACCCACCACTTCAAAACTCACCAAATGTAACTTCAACACTTGGCTCTTCAATAGCCTCTCTGATAAGGACCTTACAAACAGGACTTGTACTGAGCAGACACATGGCAAAAGCAAAAGATATTAAAACAAGACAGTGAAAATCCCATTTCCCATCCCAACACATGGGCAAAGTCCATTTGCTTTTTATGTCAAACAAAAGCCAAAATAAAGGATACTAAAAGAAAAGCTCAAATCAATTTTTTACACTTTGTGAATTCCAATTCTTGCAAATTGAAATGGTACAAAATGCTAGCTGTAAAGGTACTCAAAATTAAGAATACCTTTAGTAGTAAAAAGTAAATTATAGTAAGTACTAATTTGTAGGGTGAAAAATGGAGATCTCTTTCATCCCCTATATGTTGTTTTTTGTTTTTGGGGATGAGCAACAATCTTGGATAAGATTGATGAAATCATTTGAGATATGCAAATCAGTAACAGCCATTTTGTTTCTGCTGCTCAGTGCCTTTAGGTTGAAGTGGTAGATTCTTTCCAAAATCTTGCTGGTAGTCCACCCATTGGAACTGGAAATGGTCCATATTGAATCCCACTATTAGATCCTTCCGCTTCCCACCTATAAATAACAATAAAAATCACAAATAAACCGTATTAGTTAATTAACTACGTCTCAATTCCACTAACTTTAGCATTATAATATGCTTCATTCAGTATAGAATAACGTAATAACCTTAAGAAAATCATAATGCAGTGAATGTCTACATCTCATAAATAGCATGTTCGTCGTGAGTAAGACGGTAAGAGGGTCTTTTATTTGAAATTGTCGAACATAGTGACGTGCCGTTTTAAAAATCACTTTAGACTTGCTTGGTCTAAAATCTTAAACACAGTTTACTTTATGTTTAATGAAGTTTGTTACTCCACTAGTTACTTTTGAGTTTTGAGGCAACACTAGTAAGTGTACTAAACGTTGTTTTACACATTATATGACACGTTATCCATTATTAACTCATTAAAAAACATGATTTAACATGTCATGATCTTATAAGTATTGGAAGGGTTATTAAAATCAAAACAATACCTGAATTTAGTGACTAGATGATGAGTCATAATTAGCATTTCCAGCTTCGCAAGTTCGTTCCCTGGACAAGCGTGTACTCCACTGCCAAATGGCATAAATGTATTGGGTTTTTGCACATTCTGCAAATAAATATGAATAATTAATTTTTTAAACTAGTAAAGTGATGGGGTAGGTAAAGAAAATTATTAAGAAGTAGTACACGTAATATAAAGGGTCGAGTGGTACCTCAAATCTTGAAGGATCAAAATTTTGTGGATTAGGAAAGAACTCTGGGTTCTGATGAATATTCCTGAACAAAGGCATTACTTTCCATCCTTTTGGAATTAAGTACCCTAAACCCATATTTTCAAATTTGAAGTTTATGAGTTATCAACTTGCAGCTCGTTTTAAATATTAGATTCATAATTAAATATTTATACATACTTAATGAAATTTCTAATACAAATGTAGGTCTAAGCAAAAGTTATATTTTGTCCAAACCGTAACTAATACAGAGTAACAGAGGCTTATCCAGGTTGGGGATATGAGTTCACGTGAATATTGGTCAAAACAATGTTATATTTCTCCAAAATTACTTAAATATATGTGTGTGAACCCATGCTCAAAGACTCTTATGGTGTAATTATTATTGGATGAATCTCTACAAGTGAAATTGACAGTTCAAATTTCACTCTCAACGGTCTTATTTTCAGCAGACTATAGATATATATGTGAAAATTACTAAAATTTCAAAAAGAATATAATTTCGAACCTATAATTTCAAAAGTGCAGTGAGTTTATGGTAAAAGATTAAAATTAAACCCGTCAAATATAAATTTTAGATCCACCTCTTTACAACCATACATCCATCCACTTAAATCTTGAATCTACCTCTGAACTAATAGTATGGTTACGCTCCTGGTTCCTTTTAACTGATACAAAGGTCAGCCATTTTTGGAAGACCACATCATTTTTTACTTCCTTTGGTCTATTTATCTATCACTTTTTGAACTTGCTGTCAAATTCAGTTCATTTTAGACATCGGATTCATAATTAAATATTTATATATTTAATAAATTTTTTAATATAAATATCGAGTCTAAACAAAAGTTACGATTTGTCTGAATTGTAACTAATATTGTGTTTCCGCCCCTAATTTCTTTTAAATCTATCAAACTGATAGAATGGTCAGCCATTTTTGGAAGACCGCATCATTTATTACTCCTTCAGTCTATTTTATCTATCATTTTAGTCAAAAGAAATGGTCAAAACTATTTGTTAGTTTGAAATATCAAGAAGACATTAATTATTTTTGTCCATTTCCGCTCATACTACACTAGATAAGTGTAAGATAGTCAACTAAATTCTTTATGATTAATGTTATAAAATAGTTTTTTTTTTTTAACGAATATGCCAAAACCTCAACCCTCAAATGAAAAAGATATAAGGAATTAAATTTTTTCCCATTGGCTTACCTTTGTATTCTACATCAGCCACAGCTTCTCTAAATGTGAAAGATATAATGCTAGCTAGTCTCAATGTCTCCAAAACAACCTATACAAGACACATTGTCAAGAAGTTAATGTTAAAACTATTTTAAGTCCTTCAATTTTTTTTTATAGAAAATGTTAGTCAATATTGTCTCTCAAGTAAAATTGTTACTACCTTGTTAGTAATGGGCATCTTTCTTGTTTGTGTCCATGTCAACCCATGATTTTCTTGTTCATTTGACTGGCAGATTGCTTTCTGTTCAGCCTGCAATAATTATAGACATTATTAATGGCCAAACATCACAATGTCTTCTAATCAACAGTTTTTTATGGTTAGGACAAACATGTAGGTTGACTATATCATATTCTTAGTAGGCGTGACAGAACGTATGTGAATAGGAGATACTTTATGGATCGGGCTGATCTTTTACGATCACTTAAAAAAATGTGAAAGGAATCTTCTAGATCATTTACCTTGACATTCTTAAGAAGCTTAGGATTATCATGAAGGTACTTTAAAATCCAAGTCAAAACACTTGCTGTAGTGTCTTGTGCTGCAAAAAGAACTCCTATAATATTATCAGCAATTTGATCTTCATTTAATACCAATCCTTTCTCATCTTTGGCATTCAAGAAACAATTCAACAAGCCTTTCTCTATTAGCTTCTTCTCCTTCCTTTCATTTATGATTTCACTTAGAATTTTCCCAAGTCTCTTTCTTGCCTTCGCACATAAAAACATTACCGTCAGTGTCAGTCCACTGCGTAAACCTACAAAATTTAGTGATGACTAAAATGACACTTACTTGAAGGGACTTTCTATAAGGACTTCCTGGCAAATTTGTAGGGAAAGAATTGTAACCCTTATCAACTATGATATAATTCTTCTTCAATTGATCTTTAAGATGAGCATCCAAATGTCCAAATATAGCAAGTATACCTACTTCGAACGAATACTGACACGAAAAAAAGAAGATAAATGTCAGTAAAAGTTCGTTTATACTGTCAGTGTATATAAGTAAAATCCGATAGTAAAAACAACCTTTTTCATTTCATGATAAGTGTTAACAACATGTCCACCTGCCCAAGAGTTTAATGCAGAAATTGCTAATTCTTCGATATGAGGGATTTGGTTACGAATGGCTTCTGGATTTAAAGATGTCTGAACAAGTTTTCTGACATGGATATGGTAGTTTCCTTGATGAAAAAATAGCGCAGATTGACCAATTAAAGTCTCTTTGCTTTTGGGATAAGTTGGCTTGAATAAATTAGCTTGGTTCACTAGTACAAATCTAGCAGCTTCTGGACTTGTCAACATGACACAAGGACAACCTAGTATTTTTGTCTTAAAAATTTCACCATACCTGAAAAAACATTTTACAACCATTAATATTAGTATTACACCGACATACGAAAAAGAAGAATTAAACTTAATAGTCGTTCACTCAATTACTTAAATTAAAAATAGTGAATGTGAGTGAAAATGGTACCTTCTTTGCCTGTTAATGAAGAAGATATTAGGGTCTTGAGAATAAAGTTGAAGAGTTTCTCCTATATAAGGCCACCCCATTGATCCAGGTGGAAGCTTATAAGCTTTCCTTTGGGGTGATGATTTCTTATTTCTTGTTATGACAAACCATAAATATAAGAATAAGATAGTAAGAAGAAATATAGAGATATAGAAAAATAAGTCAAAATTAGTCATCTTCCTTTTTGTGATAGAGCTTTCTAATTGTTATAGGAGAATGCTAACATATAGTGAATGGGGTAGTGATCTTTTTTTTTTATGCAGCAGAGTGGAGATGATGCTTCTTTATATAGGAATGAAAGGGGGTAGAAAGAGACGTTAAATAGGAGAATAGTAGTAGAAAAAAAGTTTATGTTCAAAGATTACTATGACCTTGTCTTGATTATCTGATTTCACATATGTTGAAACATTAAATTTAAGTTAACTAAATTAGATAAGTTTATTTGATTTTTTAAAATTTTATCTTCACCAAGCATATCGCATTTATACTATCACTAATCTATAATGAAATACATTATTATATATTCCATTATTTAAAAAGTAGGTGGTTCAAGCATATTACACATGCTTTAGATTACACTTAGTAGGCGTTTGAGCGTGAATTCCATTTTTTTTTTCAAATTTGGAATTTCACTAAAATTTTGAATTGAAGATGAAGTTGTGTTTGGTTATAATTTTTGCAACATATTTGGATGTCTTTTTTTCAACATATTTTGCAACTAAGCACTAAGAATTTTCCCATTTTCAAGTGAGATTGGAAAAATTGTAAGATTTTGATAACCAAACATTATTTTCAAAAAACAAAATTTGAAAAAAGAAAAATTTTCTTATGTCCAAACGGGCTCTTAGTCCTTATCTAAATGATATAAAATGTAAGTGGTTACAAACATATTAATACTCTTACTCTAGGCTAAGCTTAGCAAACTTATTACTGATAATATTCTAATTACAAGCATATATATAATGGCACATACTTTTAATTAGTGCAATAGCGGATTAAGTCGAAAAACCAAACTGGACCAATTTCTTTTGTTATTTGGTTTACATTTTCAATTATTGGTTTGACACTAAATATTTAAAAGTTTTCGTTCCTTAGTTTGGTTTTGAATTTAAAAAGTAAAAACCGAAAAATCATTTTTTAATTTTTTTATATAAAACATATTTAATTCTTGGTATACGATCGATAAAGAAATTAACTAGCATTGCAATAATAACTAAATTTTGTTTTGATTATGGTATTAGTTTGCCAGTTTATTCTTGTTGACTCTTTGCATTATGCTTTTATAGGGGACTAAAAGTGTTTGATTATCTCATCAAATGTGTATTACTAGCTTATCTGTAGTGACTGATGATCATTATTCAATCATGTTATTGAATTTAGAAAAAAATATTTAAGAGATTTGGCATAACTACTCCTCCATAATGGTCATTCTTTTCTTTGTCATTAATTTAAATATGTTATTCATAGTTTAGATTTCATTTTTTTGTTTGTTATTTGTAGATACAGTGAATAGTTACCTCGGTTGAATCTAATGTACTTTCAATAGTGATTTCTCTACTATACTTGTGACACCCCGAAAAATTTCGAAATATTTAAGCGTAAAGCCTCGTAAATTTTCGCAAATGAATTCAAGGTTTCGTGGTGCCGGAGTAGGTATACATGTTTAAGGATTTTCGAAATTCTTCCGCGACTCGGACTTTTTGGGTTGAACAATGCACCGGAAAGTAAAAGAAAATTTTTAACAGAAAACTGCGTTTCTGCGGTCCATTATGCGACCGCAGACACAGACAAATTTTTGGTCATTTTGGTCTGCAATTATGCAACCGATATTCGGTCTGCATATTGATTATGCGATTGCAAAACCTGTTTCGAAGCTTCATTTTTGGGTTTTTTAAAACCCGACCCTACTTCGTTAAATACATGCTTTGGGCCATTTTTGAGCAAAAATCTGATGTTTTAGAGAGAAGGGAGAGTGTTTTAGAGAGAGATAAAACCCTAGGCTAATTATTCATCAAGTCTTGCTCAAATTTTGGAAGATAACAAGGAAAACCCACAAGTTCTTCAACTAAGAGATAAGGTTCCATACCCTAGTTTTCAATTTCGAATTTGGGTAGAAGATGATTGATTAGGAGTATGATTCTTGGGTATGAGAGTATTATCTATACATGCATGTACCAACAAGATTTATGGGAAGATTGTTGAGCTTAAATAAGTAAGGATTGGGTTATGTAGTGAAGAAAATCTTGTAGAAGAACCTTATGGTTAAATTTGCACACCTAGTGTTTGATAAAATGCTCAAATGAGCTGAAACCATGAATATCTTCCTAATTATGGTTCAATTTTGTTATGTCTCAAAATAGATTGGGATTGCTAGAATTTTCGGAACGTTGTAGTAATTTAAGGAAAGCTCAATTGAGGTATGTTGGCTAAACTTTCTCTCTTAGAATTGAATTCCATGATGTTTCCATAAGTTCCAAGTATGGTTGTCTCATGTTCCTTATTCTATATTCCGAGTTGTTCCCAATAAATTCGATTGTCCCGAATAAGCAAAGTGTCAAGAATTGAGTAATCAAAACTTGTTCAGGATGTTCCTATCACATTACGTCATCCTTCGAGAATGTGTTCAAGAATGATATGTGTATTAAAATGTTATGACTTTGAGTCGCGTTTCAAATGAAAGCTATTATGCCAAATTGTGTGAGAAAAACTCAATATGCTTAAGACTCTTAATTGCTCAAATGTGTACCTAAAGTCTTGATTTGAAAATGTCTTGTTGTTGATAATCTATAATGATGCTTGAAAATGAAATAAGTGAATTGGGGATATAGAGTGTGCTCAACGTGCCAAGAATGAAGGTTATACTTATGGCTAATAGTGCCAATGAAATAATATGATGTGAGAAAGATTATGAAATGAGCTTTGATTCAACTATTCTAAAATTGACTTCGAAAATAGAATTTGCCTAAAAGCTTATGTACTCAAGTCATTCCCATATGTGGTTGTTTCAACTAATATTATGCTTTGTGAGTATTTTCAATGTGTTTTGCATTCTTACATATTCGTGAATGGAAATTGTGTAGTGTCCTTTTTGGGGAAAAGTATTTTAAGAATAAATGGTGTGTTATTTGTTGATAATTTTAACTTGCGCATCAATTGCCAATTATTTTAATTCATTTCTCGGAAAGAAATCTATTGTGCTTAAATTGTTCATTTCTAATGAATTTAAAGTTGTGATTTCTGGAATATTCTATATGTTGATATTTGATGATGATCTATGAAAGGAAAAAAATGAAAGTGTGGAATATGAAATACGGCCATTGCGCCATGAATAAAGAATTATATATATGGCCAAGAGAGCCAATGAAATAATAATATTGTAAGTGGTTAAAAGTACGGATTAAGTGATACGTGATGTGAAAGGTTATGAGATGTACGTATTTGTACTTTTGTTTTCAATGTGTTATGAAATCCTGTGGACGGTCTATGAAACGCATAGGTATATTGTGTTATAAAATCCCGTGGACGGTCTATGAAACGCATAAGTATATTATGTTATGAAATCCTGTGGATGGTCTATGAAACACATTGGTATATTGTGTTATGAAATCCTGTGGACGGTCTATGAAACACATAGGTATATTGTGTCCTGTGGACGGTCTATGAAACGCATAGGTATATTGTGTTATGAAATCCTGTGGACGGTCTATGAAACGCATATGTACATTGTGATATGAAATCCTATGGACGGTCTATGAAACGCATATGTGAATTATGTATAAGAAGTATAGGTGTACAGTATGAATAAACACTATGGACGGTCTATGAAACGCATAAGTGTATAGTATGATATGTGAACACTAAGGACGGTATAATGAGACACATTATTAATGCAGACAATAGGTGCCCCTTTCGTTGCCCTTGTTTGTACATGTTGTTTCAATTACATTATATTATGTGTTTCACGTATAGATCATATGGGCATTCTATTTTGAAAGAGGATTTCTAGCTATATATACTAGTGCTATTCAACAGTACTAACGTCCCTTTTGCCGGGGGCGCTGCATCTTTAATGGATGCAGGTGGTTCTACAGCANGTACACTCTTTTCAGCTGATTTGGTGAGCCCCACTTCATTTCGGGGTCATGTATCTTTTGTTTCTCATGTACTTTGTGGTTGAGGTATAGCCGGGGCCTTGTTGCCGGCATTTCCATATTACTCTTCAGTTGTACTTAGAGGCTCCGTAGACAGGTTGTGGATGGTATTTGATATTGAAAATTGGATTAGAACTATTAGTATTTGACAACATATTTTTCATTAAATCTATAAACTTGTACTATTTTGGAAATATTGAATGATGCTGTTAATGGGAATGAAATGGAAGCGGTTAATGAAATCTCTTCAGCATTTGATTAACGGAGTACATCTCCTCTTTATTCAGGGATGAATTTGGGTAGAATGAAATCTAGCAGGCTTGCTCGGTCGGGTTTACTCGGTTGAGCGCCGGTCGTACTCCCTAAGTTTGGGCCGTGACAATACCACACTGTGGAATCAAAAGCTTATGTTTATCTTTTACATAATTTCAGGTTCCTCGTCGTCGCTGCCATGGACCACCCACCGATTAGGCACGTTTACCGTGAAGACAACAAAGTGGCGCACACCCTAGCAAGCTATGGGAGTATTCAGGCCTCACATAACTATCCTGAGCATGAAGACTTATTTTGGAATGAACCATCTTTATTTGCTTTTTTAATATTTCGCAGAGACTATTTAGGGATTGAATCGTTAAGATCAGTTCCACGTTGTAATAACTCTACTTAATTTTCAACTTTCAATAAAAGTTCTTTAATTCAGCCCCAAAAAAAAAATTATGAAGGTGGTTTTTAAATACTCGATGCCACATTCCTCAATGTATAAGAATGAACTTGCACATTTACATTGTAAATTTGGATTTGCTCCCTTTAAGTTTAAACCCCTTTTCTTGGGTCGTTTAATCAAAATAATAAGAGAATGGCGGAATTAGTGCAAAGAGAATAAGAACGGTTATATTTCGTAAACTTCTATAGTCTAAATCATCCATACTATCGAACATTGATCTTAACAATGTACGCGATGAACCTATGGCATGCTTAAGAATGCAATTGCTTAAGGACTTATCTCGCCCTAGTTTTGGCCAAGAAATTAATCGATATTAGGCATTTCTCCCTTTGGAACTTCATGGTAGTAATTAAATTAACTACTGATCAATAATAATTTGGCTACATAAGTGG